CTCTTTTCACCTTCATGTCCTCAGCCCCCTTCCTCCCGTCCGCTCAGGGCCTGGGATCCCCCCTTCTCAACCTGGCATCCTAAAAACACCCCCACTCTGTCCCGCTCCCTCCCCCAGCCTCCTTCTCTGCCTCCTTTCCATTGCCTCTGCCCACAGACATCCCCCTTTCCTGCTTCCCAGGAAGCTGATAGGCACTTCTACTTTCTGCCTTTGAAATGTACAAGAGCCCCGGCAAGTGCTCTTGTGCATTTCAAAGTAGAAAGGACACTTTGAAATGCCAGGTGGAGCCTGGAATCAGCTGAGGACTCCCCAGCTGACCCCAGGCTCCATGCAGGCACTTTCCACTTTGCAATGCACATGAGCCCCCACTGAGCACTCTTGTACATTTCAAAGCTAGTATGTCTCAGGGAGCCTGCTCCACCCAGCAGTTCAAAGCTGCTTCCCAGCTGACCCAGGCTCCATATGGCACTGCCCTGTGGCAGCATTTCAAAGGGCGGGTGCCACAAGGATCCCAGGATCAGCTGTGCAGGACTGCCCATTTGAAACATCACCCTGGTGTTTCAAAGTGGCAGCACTGCAAGGAGCCTGAGACTCTGGGTTCTGTTTGGGGTTCTGCCACTTTGAAGTACCCCCCTTAACATCGACTAGTCTTCTTGTCCTTAACATCGACTCGTCTTCTTGTCCTTAACATCCCTACTCATGACACATTGTAACAGGGCATGGCTCACTACGTGGGCGCCTCCTGCTGGACACTCTGGGAATTAGGTATTTATTGTTGGAATGCCCCCTTCTGGCTGCTGTCTCACCCACTGTTATTTGTTCTTCTCCTCCATTCTATGTCAGGGCTCATGTCCCCTTGGGCTACGTCTAGACTATCATGATTTTCCGGAAATGCTTTTAACGAAAAAGATTTCCGTTAAAAGCATTTTTGGAAAAGAGCGTCTAGATTGGCATGGACGCTTTTCTGCAAAAGCACTTTTTGCGGAAAAGCATCCATGGCCAATCTAGACATCTGAGCTGTCTACACTGGCCCTTTTGCGCAAAAGGGACTTTTGCCCGAACAGGAGCAGCATAGTATTTCCGCAAAAAGCACTGATTTTTTACAGTAGGAAGTCAGTGCTTTTGTGGAAATTCAAGCAGCCAGTGTAGATAGCTGGCAAGTTTTTCCGGAAAAGCGGCTGATTTTCCGGAAAAACTAGCCAGTCTAGACACAGCCTCAGACTGCAGTGCCTTCCTACGTGGGTACTGTCCTACTGTAGTGCATCCATAACCTGGAATCCTTCGCCTCTGGGAACCCCCAATCTCCTATATCCACCTTGCCCCAGGGACCCTCTGCCAGTCTTCATCTAGCCCCTTACCTGAGGGGCAAATTGAAGTCTGAAATGGCCACTCATCACTGGCAAGGGATGTGGATCAGCTTCCTTTGCCTCCCCTGGCTGCCTCCCCACAGCCCTAGTAACCTCCGGCCTTGCTTCAGGCCCTGCAGCCTGGGAGCTTGCCTTGCCAGAGCTTCCCTAGCTCTGCTCTAAATTAGGAAGCCTCTCACTTCCCTGGCAGCTAGGTCCCTCCTGCTCCACAGCAAGAGTAAGAGGGTATCTGTCTTCTCTCTGCCAGGAGCCTTTATTTATAGTGCCTTCAGCTGAGCCCTAATTGGCTGCTATCAGCTGCAGCTCCCCCTCTCCAGCCCTCTGCAAGGGCTGGGTTTTAACTTTTGAAGGGCCTGTGTGGGGCAGACACTTCATCACACACATGCTCAAACATCAACAATCAAACAAACAAAATTCCTGAGAACTGATTAAGCTATTTACAATAGACTGTGAGGGAGGACATGAAGGAAGGAAGCCAGAATGGTTATTACTTTTAAAAAATATATGATTTAATTTACTGTAGTGATGGGCATAGTGGGAATTTCCAATTATATTGGAATTGAAAACGTTTCAGAAAAGGCAACAAAAATTATTAGGGGTATGGAATGGCTGCCATATGAGAAGAGTTAAATAAGACTGAGGCTCTGTGTAGACTGCAGGCTTCTTTCAGAAGAAGCTTTTCCAGAAGAGATCTTCTGGAAAAACTTCTTTTGAAAGAGAGCTTCCACGTGAAAAACGTGCATCAAAAAAGCAATCTGCTTTTCCAAAAGATAGCATTCACATTGATTGGATGCTCTCTCGCATTTAAGTTGTAATTACTATGGATGGAGTGGCCACCTAGGCACTTGTGCTTTTTCCTCGTGGCCTCTTCTTTCAAAGAAAACCCCTCTTCCCCGTCTATACTCCTTTTTCCGAAAGAGCTCTTTCATAAAACGGTCTCTTCCTTATAGGAAGAGGTTTACCGCTGTTGGAAAAACTCCTCTGTTCTTTTGACTTCCTGTTGAAAGAATGCAATTGTAGTGTGGACATAAGTGTAGTTTTTCCGGAAATATGGCCGTTTTTCTGGAAAAACTCTGCAGTGTAGACATACCTTGGGACTTTTCATCTTGGAAAAGAGACAACTAAGGCAGGATATGATAGCAGTCTATTAAATCATAACTGGTGTAGAGAAAGTGAATAAAAATAAGTACTTACTCCTTCCCAGAACACAAGAATTAGGGGTCGCCAGATGAAATAAGTAGGCAGCAGGTTTAAAACAAACCAAAGGAAGTATTTCTTTACATAATGCAAAGTCAACCTGTGGAACTCTTTGCCAAAGGATGTTGTAAAGGCCAAGACTATAACAGGGTTCAAAAAAGAACTAGAGAAATCCATGGAGGATAAGTGGCGAGGAGTCCTGTGGCACCTTATAGACTAACCAAAGTGTTGGAGCATTAGCTTTCATGGGCAAAGACCCACTTTGCATGCATCTGACGAAGTGGGTCTTTGCCCACGAAAGCTTATACTCCAACACTTCGGTTAGTCTATAAGGGGCCACAGGACTCCTCGCCACTTTCCCATCCTTTTGTGACTCATCTCTATTTGGTCTCATCACTGTCTCGTCTTTTACGTTCTTCTGCCCGGGAACTGTCTTCCCATCCACATTTATTAGGATGCAATTGACTCAATTGACTTTGTTGAGGCATCTGTTTCTAGAAGGGCACTTTCCAGTGAAGACTCTGGGAACAGAGGTTACATCTTGTCTGCACAGGGAAAGTGGCATGTGCCATTTGGACAAGGAGGGGAACATAATGTTTGTGGGGCAAAATCCTCAGCTGGTGTAAATCGTGTAGCTCCATTGGCTTATCTCCATTGAACACTTCGAATTTTTAGTCACCATTTCCTCCAGTCAGCAGGGCCAACAGCTTCAGGGCAAGGTGAGGAGGAGGGCTTGGGCAGAAGTTGGGGGCTGGGCCTCGGCAGTCGTCAGTGCTGCCCGGAGTGCGCCACGCGTGCTCTGGCAGCAATTTAAAGGGTCCCAGGCTCCAGCTAAATGAGAGTTACAAAGAGGAAGGAGAAAAATTGTTCTCCTTGACCTCTGATGCTAGAACAAGAAGGAATGGGCTTAAATTGCTGCAAGGGAGGTTTAGATTGGACATTAGGAAAAACTTCCTAACTGTCAGGGTGGTTAAAAACTGGAATTGCCTAAGGAGGTTGTGGAATCTTTATCACTGAAGATATTTAAGAGCAAGATAGATAGGCACCTATCCGGGATGTTCCAGATGGTGTTTGGTGCTACCGTGAGGGCAGAGACTAGACTTTATGACCTTTCGATGTCCCTTCCAGTTTTAGGATTATATGATTGTAAGATTCTATGAAGCTGCCCTTCTCACACACACTCCTTGCTTGCTCTGCTAGTGGTTCCATGGAGGAGCACCATGGATTCCCAAGTAGTGTTTGCCATACCTACCTGTATTGCTATTGTGCCTGGTTGCACCCTGGGCTGCTGCTCCAATAGGAAAGGGTTTGGCAAATGAGTATCTTTGAAAGAGATTGCAATGCTGCCTCAACTCTCCAGCATCAGAACAGCAACAAAAGGATTTCTGCCGTGGAATAGGTGTGTGGAAGCTTTCTTCCAGGCTCTGCTTTTCTCACTGGCATTGAACTTCATCTAATACTTTCTCTTTTCCCAGTCAGTAATAGGTAGGGAGAAGTAGTCTTCTTGGACCCATGACAGCCACCACCACCCCAGGATCATAAAAGCAGAAGATGCAGCTCAGCCCACTGGTGTATTTTCCTTACAGTTGCCCACATGGGAGTTGAGAGGGGAGAGATGCAACCCAGGTAATATTGACACCTTCAGAATCTCGGAGGCTTATCAAGTGTTATAAATATCCCTGTTTTCATTAGTGCTCTTGGTTAGTGCTCAAGCTGTATCTGACAGACCTATTTAGCCATATAATGCAAAGCAGTTTCTTACTTTTTTTATTTGACTTATTGCCACTATTAAAGTAGGAAACAATAAACATTTGTATTTTTAACATAAATCCTCACTCGTTCCCATAAGAGCACAACAAAAATGGATGTTCCATAGAGTTCCACTAGTTATAATTGGTGTTTTCATAGGTTTGTAGCTACACATAATCAAATACACACACATGTACACCACTAAAATGGCCCTGTGCAACTATGTCTGTTTTATTCCCAGTGTTAAATTTGGTGGCTTTGAATGCAAGAAAGATGTTTGATCCTTTCAGAAAATGTGAATTCACTGCCACATCTTCTATGACAGGGTGCTTGAGATCAATAGTATTTCTTGATTCACTGGGTATGAGTCAATGAATAATTCCCTAAGTTTTAATAGAAACTTCCTGAAGTGAGAGCTGATGTCACGAGGTCAACACATCTGTAGTGGATGGCTAAGGGTAGGTACATTGAAAAACACCTCTACCTATTTTATTCCTATGCACAGATAATGCCATGCTTCTTTCATGAAGTAGGAATTGTTGCCATAGTAATGATTTCAGCATTTGTTTGGTTCAATAGCAGGCATGGATTTGTTTATGTTGGCTGGAAAAAACTTTCCTGAGATAACTCTACTAGAACATACTACAGTACATCTAAACAGTTGACTGTGCCTATCAAATCCATTTTTCCTGGTATTTGGTATTTCTAACATAGTAGCATCAAGCAATGGGACACACTTTAGTGGGCAAGAGTTTTAGCAGTTTGTTGTGAAGTACAGATTTAGACATATAATCACTAGTCTTTGTGGTTAAATGTTGATAGATGTTTGGGGGCATGTGTTCTCTCTATGTGCAGTCCCAGGCCTGTGCAAACAGCTGCCACAGAAGACCTTCATCAGAAGTGGGTCTTTGCCCACAAAAGCTTATACTCCAACACTTCAGTTAGTCTATAAGGTGCCACAGGACTCCTCGCCGCTTTTGAAGATTTAGACTAACACAGCTACCCCTCTGATACTAGATATCTAATGTTGATATTGTCAACCGAGCACCAACAAAAAATTGACTTTGCCACCACCACCTGAAATGCAACTCCTACCTTTTCCATTATTTTTAACAAAAAAATTGACCCTGCATAGCATATTTTCGCTTAGCACATTTTCAGAAACGCATCTATAGTGTTAAATGAGGAATTACTGTAGTTACTGCTCGCTGGTGTGACTAGTTACCATTGATCCCCTTATACAAATTGGTTCAATTTAAGCATTTTTATTACATACTGTCAAGTATCAGAGGGATAGCTGTGTTAGTCTGAATCTGCAAAAGCGACGAGGAGTCCTGTGGCACCTTATAGACTAACAGATTTATTGGAGCATAAGCTTTCGTGGGCAAAGACCCACTTCGTCAGATGCATCTTGCATCTGACGAAGTGGGTCTTTGCCCACGAAAGCTTATGCTCCTACACTTCAGTTAGTCTATAAGGTGCCACAGGACTCCTCGGACTCCTCGTCGCTTTTATTACATACTGTTATTCTCACCTTATTTTTAGGAGTAGCCAGTTTGTTTCTGTTATTCTTAAAGAATGTTTTTGTACCATTCTTGATATTGGAATACTCTGGTACCACTTAACATCAGGATGTGTTTGCGTAAGTACTTTGTGAAGTACTTATATATGGTCTTATGTATGTTCTTATATGACTAGCACTTCTTTAAAATGTGTATTTTTACAAAGCAGCCCTGTTCTTCCCAAATTGTGTAAGCAGATCTTGCCTCATACCTGGCCTCTCATACAAGGGCTTATATTTTAGGCTTTCTTCCTACTACAGTCTCCTTTACCCCAATCCAATGAGTTGGTGAGAAACAATGTCAATAACAAAGCACCTACTGAAGACATGCTCTGATCCATATTAAGCATTGTAAATTACAGAACAACATCATCAGCGAAGCAAGGATTGTTACCTGCTAAAATTTCATGGACAGAAAACTGAAAACAAGAACACCAGCATTGTTAGAAACTGATGTCAGTTTCTGGAGACTTATAGCTACATACAGGCAACTGCCACCACTTCATGAAAATGATACACGTCTTTATGATGCGAAACAATGGTCATAATCAGCAGCGGGGTCACAAGAAGTAGGTTTCACTACAGTCCTGTGAGATTTTCACTTTAGGTGAATGCGTACTATGGTGACATCTTCTCCAAATCCTCAAAAGGAGGAAAATAACGGGGCACTGAACCTGCCTTTTTGCCTGAAAGGTCTCAGACTGGCAACAATGACAGCAGATTGAGATAACAGAGTCCCAGGACATAAAACAGCTGAAACAAATGGGCTTGCCATCTCCTGACAGCAATAATTCTGAGGTTTCAGTGGCATCTGAAATTGAGTATTGAGTATACATGGCATTTCAATGACTGAATGGTTCTTTCAGTGTTATTGTTAATAACTTTTGGCTAGGAAAGAAAGATAAAGTGGTGGGAACGGTGTTTTTAAGGACTGGGCTTTCCAGACTGAATAAACCAGAGATTTTATAAGCTCTGTAAGCACTGAGGGTATGCCTACATTCCCCCGCTAGTTCGAACTAGCGGGGTAGCGTAGACATACCCTGAGTGATCACAGAACACCAAGTGCCTGAGTCAATGGGAATTTTTCAGTTGACTTCAGTGGGAGCAACAATTGGCCGATGGTCCTTGGACTTTCTCTGCATGCACTCTACATATGTTACCACATCTGAGACAGTAGGCAGCAGCTTCAGCGGGAGAGCCAAATGGAAATCTTCCTGAAGTCGCTAAAAACCTGGGCTAAGCTTTTCTCAGATAGAAATTGCTCTACTTATATTACAGATTCACAGGTAGTTAATGAATATACTGTTGGCAGCATTTCAGGGAAAAGTATCTGAGATTCTGCTCAGATTCCCTCCCAGGGGAGAACAGTTCTGTTCTTTCTGCAGTTTACATTCAAATCCTAACATACTGAGTCCTACAGTGGTTTTTTTATTTATTTTTTATTTTTTTTTATTTTTGTTGTTGTTCTATATGTGGTGGTTGTCATTTACAAAAATCAGCAGTCGCTACTCTGTGGTATATGAGATACTACAGTTATTTCCTTAAAGTGAGAATAGAAGAAAATATGTATCTCCTGCTGTCATACAATTACTACTGGTAAACAGTGATTCTTTAATAGTGACCTATCATAGCCTGTCCAAAACATCACAAAACCAAAAATACAGATTTGTTATTATTGAACAGCAATAATCAGCACCGCAGATAATTCAGGAAAACTTTTCAAATAGTAGAGCCTTATTCACACAACTAAAATCAGAATGTAACTCCTCTTCTGATGTGCAAACATGAGACACAGTCTTCTCACCTGCTCTAGTCTGATGGCTGCCTGCTTCACCTTCCACCGATGGATAGAGTTTTTCTTAGCTGCTGCTTTCTCCCATCTCTGCTTTCAACTATCATTATCAGGAGCAGCCACAGCCATTTTTCTGGCCAGGGAAGAAATGTTTTTGGTTTCCCCACTCATTCCCAGTAGATAAACAAACAAAAAACAAGAGCCAGCCAATCAGTGGAGAGAGAAAATAGCCAAACACCACAGTAGTATAGTGCCCCATGGAAGTTAGCACCCTGTTTGCAAATTTCTCTGATTTCAGTGGAACTGTGGGTACTTGGCACCTATGAAAATCAGGCCTTATGTATGAAGGAAATTCCAGGTTTTGTGGGATGTGCAGGGAAAGACACAGATTTTCAATCATTTCATGACTGCCATGGCCTTAAAATAGATTTTTTGCTGGCTTGTATAGCTGTGTATCAGATACACATACTAGGTAGTTCAAAATGGCTGTGTTAACATCCTGTTACCTTTAAATCATGTTTGCAGCAGTGCAAGAAGTGCATTCCTGGACTAGATTTTGCTTTCTAGTCATTTTGTCATACTAGAACCACATCACAGTAACAATTCTTGACAAGTGGGCTCTTAAGACTCTATTGGCAAGCTTTGCCTGAATTTTTTTTCAAGAACACGAATCTGTTGACTGCATATCTCTAAAAATGATCTATTAAGCAGCTGAGTGATGCGTAATAGAGCAGGCCCATTCAATTAAAATATTGTTAAAGAGGAAATCCTGTAGCAGAATAACATCTGGAGTATCTTGAAAAACAGATGAGACCAAGAAATGTGCATGTGTTGGGTGTCCCCTTGGATATAAGAGACTCCGACCTTTTGACTTTGATAATGTTACCATCAATACTGGTAAACTGAACACGGAAGAAGACTCCATTTACACAGAACACTACCATACCTTCAGAATTCCACCGTGAAAAGGCAGTGAAGAAATTAATTCCAGAGGACCCTGCATCACCAAGCTAAAACAGAATGATCACGTACATCCTGCAAACAGATCACACACTAAGCCTTTGAATGTAAGTGGAATAAATTATTTTCCCTCTGAATTAAGCCCAGCCCATTATTTTGAAAGAAGCTGCTAGAATCCCTATATAATGGACAAGTATGGAATAATCCAACTATGGGAAAAACTTTTTCCTAACTCTGTCAGTTAGTGCTTGGCAATAATAAATAATAATAACAATAATAATAATAAATAATGGCAGTAGTTGCCTGACGGCCCAAATCAAGAGCACACTCACTTTATGCTAGGTACTGTGCACACACATAATGACAGATGGTCTGTACCCCAAATAGGATTTATATGCCCTATTAAACTATAAACTATTCAACTATGTCTACTCTACAATGCTATTTTGGGATACTGATGTATCCCAAAATAGCTATCTTAACAACAAGCCCGTTATTTTGGGCTCACTATTCCAATGTCCTTGTAAACCTCATTCCACAAGGAGTAAGTGGGTTATTTCGAAGCACCAAATAATGACATTAGCTATTTTGAAATAAGAAATGCAATTTGAATAGCTCAAATTGTGTCTCATTTCAAACTACAGCGCAGTGTAGACATAGCCTTCGAAAGCTTGTTAGATAGGCATCTGTCAGGGATGATCTAGTAGGTGCTTGATCCTGCTGTGAGGGCAGGGGACTGGACTTGATGACCTCTTGAGGTCCCTTCCAGTTCTAATGTTCTATGATTCTATCTGTCTTTATTAATGTAATGGGTGTTTTCATTATCTATATAAAATTCTTATTTCCCTGATCACCTTCACAAAGAAATAGAGATGTAGCCGTGTTAGTCTGGTGTAGCTGAAACAAAATACAGGACTATGTAGCACTTTAAAGACTAACAAGATGGTTTATTAGATGATGAGCTTTCGTGGGCCAGACCCACTTCCTCAGATCAAATAGTGGAAGAAAATAGTCACAACCATATATACCAAAGGATACAATTTAAAAAAAATGAACACACATGAAAAGGACAAATCACATTACAGAACAGAAGGGGGATTTAGGGAGGGGGAAAGGAAGGTGAATGCCAGTGAGTTAATGATATTAGAGGTGGGGAAGGGGAAATGTCTGTGAGTTAATAGTTCACAAAGAAAGTAACTGAAACTGTATTGTCTTTGTCTCTGGTAAGTGGGCAAACTGTCAACTGTTTTCTACCCTTCTGTGGAAAGCTGTCAAGTGAACAGACAGCCCTGGAAACTCTGTATCACCTTGCAGATTTTCCTCCACATGTTCCACTCAGAGGAGAGGGATTTAAAAGTCCTTGGAGGAAGCAAAGAACATGTGCCTGCAAAACCTTAGAGTCTTGGGAATCCACAAGGAAACTCTGCCTCCAGTTTCACATAATTCACTGGAGAACTAAATTGATGTTGATTTATTTTGTGGCTGTTATTCATAGATGTTCCTGTTAACTTGACTCCTGTTCAGATATTATTAAGTCCTTGCTAGTTGTGTTTTAAGTCATGGCACATAACTGGAACATAACATATCTCACTTAGAAGTCTAGGGCAGTCAGCTAGTCAGGTTGCCTTGCTGTTTGCTAATTGAGTACACTCTCACCCAATAATCAATTGTTGTTTGCCCTCCAAATCTTTTCCAAAATCCACCACGGCACTCCAGCCTCAGGGTCTCTTGTTCCATCTCCCTGTTCTCTATATCCTGGAAGCCATCCAATTTCATATAGTCCTCATTGGTGTCCTCATTACCATTACCTCATTACCATACTGCTTGCAATATCCCTAGCTTGGCTTGTCTCCATTCTCTGGTACAGTGAGGAAAATGTGAGCCCACAAGCCATCATGTTGCCACCTGTCCAGAAATGCACAGCCAGACACTAATCCCCAGATGACACAACCTGCTAGCTTCCCTTCTTCAGGAAGCATATTGCATCGAAGAGACATGCTGCTGTTAGCTGCTGTACCTTGCAGTTGGGAACATCATGGGACCTAACAATTGTTAATACTTATTAATTCTTGCTTGGATTTCTAATCAGATAGCCACTGGTTTGGAGGTACCAACTACCATAGTAATAAGTGCAAGATAAATCCCTAGACAGCTTGACTGTCTGTAGTTCACAGCTGTGAGAGATATGAAAATAACAGATCTTTCACTAAACAGTAGATATTCTCAACAGAGGAACATATAAAAAGCCAACTTTGTGTCTACGCTGGAAAAATATACTGATTGCTGTGACTGAGCACTGCAGGCCATTGCAGAATGTAATTTTTATAAAACATTTTAAAAATAAAAATGACATCTACTATTTGACAAGCTCTATTTTTAGAGGACCTTGACATTTATTTACGCAATCAATGGTTTTTTTATTGCCAGATAATAATGATGAAGCTTAAACATTCCCTAATTTTCCACAGTCAAAAATCCAAAAGGATAGGATTAAAATCAACAGGATGTCTCCTTGTGTGATCTAGATTTAAGAACAGCCACATCACATTCTGATAAGATTTTTAAAGCGTAGGATGCATCTCTGCTTTAGATGCCAGTCAGCTCTGCACTGTTCCTCACTGTGAATTTGGACTGATAAATATGAAGCTTGATAAACTCACGTGCAGCAATTGGGAGTTGCCTTTAAAATGTTTGCTTGGTTTTTTCGCTCCAAGTGTAAATTGGAAACACAAAGGTATGATTTTCAGAAGGGCTGAGCATCTGCAGCTCCCATTGCAGGCTGCTGGTGTGGGAAGGACTGAGCACCTCTGCAAATCAGGTCTAATGTCTGCCCATTCTGGCAAGCTCTTACCTAATAACATAGATCTAACCCTGCATCTCAGTATTTACTGTCTTTGCCCTTCCCATTTATTTTGTTTAAATAATGCTCCAACCAGTGTAAAAAATTGAGAATGATTTTGTTTAATTAAAAGGCAGCATTGAAGGGAAAAAAAAAGGCAAAGATGTGCCTTCTGCAGTACAAGAAAAATAAGTAAATACAATTCCTGTTAATTATCCATTACTCAATCCATTGACTTCTATTTAATTTAATCCCTAGCTAATTAGATTGTCTATGTTATTTGATCATATTTACAGTAACCAAATCATTTGTATTTACATTGTCCTTTGTCTATTAACTTTGACTACTGTTATTTAAAAGGTCACTGTCAGGTCAGCTGAGGCCCACATTTTCCCTTTAATATGCAGGTAGGAAAGGATAACAACACCTGGACAAGTATGTTTGGGAAGTTGTATCAGGCAAAAGAACAGGAATCTCAGCAGCTGCTGAAATTTGTGATAGCCAATGACCCGGTGAATCTAAACATGCAAGAAATCTGTGTTGGACTTTTGGTTGGGAAAACCAAAATACTGGTTTTTAATGTTTACATTATATATGTTTAGCTTACAGTGTTATTCCTATAAAATCCTGTAGTCTGATTGCCCAGCTACTGGATTGTATCTACAGATTTCTCAATGTATTTAAAGCATTTTATTTGAATGCTCAGATATTATTATTTTTTCTGTTTGCCATGCACTAATTTATTTTTTGCATTTTTGCGTTACTAGAAATTTTATCTACTGGCAAAAAATATGCATTTGTGAATGTGTTTTCAAAGCTCAGTATTTAATATATGTTTACTCCCCAGTATGATTAATGCACACACTTAAAATAAACCAGCTACATTAAATGGCAATTCCTGGATTCCCTACCTCCATGTGATTGGTTGCCATTTGCAGATGGAGTTTGGGGGAGGAAATTGGGGGACTGTGCAGTAACTTATAAAAACAAAAACATACATTCATACACCTACCTGAGCTTCCTTCCCCTTTTTCAATGGGTTCTGTCTCTAGGCTCATCCGAGTCAGGTTTGTTTGGGCTGCAAGGAGCTCCTGGCTATCTGCTGTAACTGCATCCTTAATGTACCTTTGCAAATAGCTCTTTGTCATTGTATAGTTATGGGATGCCTTCCTACAGATCTCACAAGGTGTCCACTGTCACTGTCGGGGTATGGGTAGGGTTGCCACTCAGAGCTGAGGGGCAAATAGCTCTGCCTTCTATCCCTTATTGCTTACTCCTCAGTTATACTTGGCAAATTTCTTTGTGACAGTGCTTTGGGATCATCAGCAATAGACTTTGCCTCTTATCCAGCTCAGTACAGGTGATTCTTTTGGAGACTCGGCTCCTCTCTGCCCCAGCTGTTCCACCTTTTCATCTTGCCTGGAATTATGCCACTGCCTCATTCAAAAAGAAGTTACTTGGTCTTTTACAGGGTGCTCCTTTCTAATTATTATTGTTATATTTATTGTGGAAGTGCCTACAAGCCTCATCCAGGGACCTATCAAGCTAGACACTCTGCACATATAATAAAAAGGCAGTTTCTGTCCCAGATTAAAGGTGAGGCTTACTGTTAAAAAGCATGTTATCTAGTTAGTTTTCTGGTTGCTGAATCAAGTGAGGGGGGAAGAAATTAAACAATGCAGAAGTCCAGATTTATTTAGAAGTCCATCCTCACTCACATAACACAGATATTAAATGAGCTCAGAGGTGCAAACTAAAATTATTCTCAGAGGACTACTGCCCTGTAGACATGATGATATAATTTATAAATCAAACTAAATAAATACTTTTGAAGCAGAAATATAAAATAATACTGTCCAAAGGAAAGTTCAGTCACTTCTCTGAGGATTAAACAAGACAGAGTTGGTCTCTCTGATCTTTTTCTGACATCAAGCTGCCTCTGTTCTCCTTGTAAAAATGATAAATAAAATACATGGAAGGTGTAAGGATTCTCAAAATACTGGATGTCAGGTCCACATATATGAAATATAACAGTTCCCAGGGTGTATAATTATTAGTCTGATTTGAAAGAAAGCACAGACTGAGTGAAATAATAGAATTGGGCTTTTAAACACATTACTGAAGGTTGTTTAGGTTTTGAATTCATTCTTTTGTCTTCTAGAAGATCCATTTGAGGTTTTTTTATGCAATGGTTATTCCCTAGGATGCATCTGAAATACTGAAGTCATTTAGAGATCCTTTAAAGATCATTAGGATATTTCAATAGAAAAATTTTCCCTATCTCCTATTGAATGTTTGTTGTCATCAAGGTGACACAGCTGCTGGAACAATTTTTATTGTGAGGCTATTGAAAACCATTGAACAAAACTATAAACCTTTTATATGATGGAAACTACTCAAAACTGGGGATTCTGCTGCACTTCCACCACCCTTAGTTCCAGCACCTATGCAAGGTGATATTTTCTATAAAAGTAAAAGACTAGAACAACACCAAGCATAATTATGTACTCACACTACATTTACACTAGTTAGCTCCATAGACTTCAGAAGACTTACTCCTGTTTTACCTCAGTGTGACAGGAAAGAGAGACCTGATATTTTTTCTGATTAGCTCACAGAGAGAAGATAACAACAGACACATGGTCAGAGAAATAGAACCAAACATCTCTAATCAGACTAATAATTATGCAACCTGGAAACATATATTTGGCAACTGCTGTTGTCCAGTATTTTAACATGACCTTCCTGGTCACATTGGCCCAGCCTCTTGGGAAAATTGGTAGCATATGACTTGAACCTTTGGTGTATCTGTCATACACTCAGTTTTTTACCAACTCATTTTTACTTAGTCCCCTGGGGAGTTAAATGGTCTTGTTGCTCTCTGTGTATCTAGTACACTGCTCTTTTACCATCACTTCCAATTATGCAGCAACCGACCACACACCTGCATCCTTCATCAATACAAGTCAAACAGAAAGAAACAAACAGAGGAAATGCCAAGTAATGCATGAAAAGACAGTCTCTTGACAGCTACATCCTATTCAGTGCAATCAGCAGCTACCTCACATGAGCTCAAAATAGACATACACTTTCTGTTCTCCCGAAACGGAATTTTTCTGGAAATCCATTCTCACACACATTTCACATTTTAATTGCTCATCATAATATGGGACAAAAACATTTTCAAAAATGCGTAATTTTTTATGATTGCCACTTTCTGACAAGCTTTAGGGTCCAAGCCAAAGTGCCAGGTCAATCAGTGTGTCAGCTGTATGAATTGCCAAATTGGTGTGGCAAGGAAGTTATCCTGATGCTGTAGGACTAGAATGGAACTCACTATCAGTCTTCAACCAGCCATTATCTCCATATGATTTGTTGATTGGCAATCTATAAATCAGAACTATCCCAGAAAGTAGCTTTTGTGGACTTGAAAGTGAAACTTATTAGCCAAAATGATCCATATTTTCTGGTAGCCTTTACAGAGGGAACATAGTTTTTCTCTATGTGGCAATATAAAACCCACCCCTCCTCTTCTCCATCCCCATATGAGGTTAATTCAAGACAGGGTAAGTCTACCTATGGCTTTGTATACAATTTTGGGGGAACAGACCTGAGACTCCTCTGTGTTGTGTGCCTGTACATGTCACCCCAGAGCAGATCCACTTAGACAAACCACCAGGAGCAAAGTTTTATTCTTTTAGGAATCCTAGACCAGAATTACAGTTCCAGCAACCTCCTCCGTTCCTGGCTCATGCTCCGAGCTTCAGTGTTCAGCCTTCCCACTGGGAGGGTAGGCATGGTGTATTTCCTATAACATGGACACCCTATGAACATGGTCTGACTCTCACAATAACTAAACCCCAAAACAGACAAGCCAATGTTGTCCTCTTGCATCATTTAATCTCCTTTCAGGGTACTCTTTAAGTCCTTTTCATTT